AAATCTAATATCAGTACCATAGTCGAAACACAGTTAGAATTAATCTTACTAATCTTACTTCTTACTAACATTATCAATGCGAAAGTTTAGATCAATGAATGGATGGATGGATGGATGTTTGTTAGAGTTGGTAGCCTAAACGGCTGAAGGGATCTCGATGAAATTTGGCATAGATGTAGAGGATAGTCTGGAAGAACACATAGTACTTGCTTGTGTTTTTTTTAATCTGCGCGGACGTAGTCGCGTGCGAAAGCTAGTATAAACTACATTCGATCAATTTTATTAATTTTTCACTTACAATTTGCGAATCTTTAAATCCCATAAAGTAGATGACGGTTCTTCTATACTTTTATCGGTCACTAAAGAGTCAAATTCTTTTCTATTGCGGAGGTATGTTTGGTGAGATGACATATTGAGTGACCCGCTTGCTTTTTAGGGACAGCGGCGTAGGACCGCTTTCTTTTATCGCGAAAATGTGAATTGAAGATTTTACCTATATTGTTAATTCTGATCTTGATACTGACTATAATTCTATCCTTACAAAAACAATTAAAGCGCCAATATCCCTAAGGGCACGGATACTAGATAAAGTCGTACAAATTTTCCCATTATTCGAGTAATGCCTTGTACCGTATCCTAGCATGAGCATAGAACTTAGGTGGAATAGTAAATTTGAAATAATCTACTAATTTTTTAATTAGAAAAATGTATTTTGCCGAGACACTTATTATATACGTTTTTGATTAAGTTAACTTACCGTCAAGTGAAGAGTTTGTAATGTTATTAGTGTGTAGACAAAGGTGGGCGTATCGAGATGGTCGGGTGGTGGGCCGCGGAACGCGAGTTTTGTGTGATGTTCCTATGTTTGATAACAGCAGTCGCATCCTAATTATTGCACTTCTCAAGTTACAATTGTTGATTCGCGTTCAATCGTTATCAACATTATTTTAAAATGATTTTGTGAGTAAAATAAATTTCGTAATTTTTATAATAACATTTTACAATTGACTATTGCGAGTTTAATCATCGCGTTACTCTTGTAGGTTAAATATAGGTTATAATATATATTAAGTTATAAGTACTGTATTACCCCTTGTAAGAATGTTAGGAACACCGGTAATATACTATGTGGCACTCAATTGATTAGTCGGTACTCTGCACACTTGAGTTTAAAAGCATTCTTATTAATTATTCAAGAGATTCCGGCGCTCCGTGGTTAACTTTGTGGATGTTGGATGCACTCGGCGCATATGAAACCGGTTTATTTGCAAATGGCCAAATACATGTCATTATTTACACAACTAAAGAATTAATTGCCCATATGGATTGTTCTAGAATGTATGTACTGCTTGCTTGTTACTCTTATTAATTCTATGATATCTTTGTCATACCTAAAAGATCCGGATTTCATTTCTAGCGTAGATAACATATTTTACAGATTATGTTAACGCTGTATGCTTACATCACTAGGCATATTTTTATAGTTTAGTTTTCCAAAACGATACACCAGTCATCATCGTTGGGAGAGAAGGAGGGGGTAAAGCGGTGGCGGCAGCTCGTCTCTGGTTCACTCAAGAGTCCATAAATTCATGAGACGTCCCGCCAGCCGGCGCCCCGGTGAGGCGGTGGAGAGTATGTGTATACGAACTATAACCTTAACAATATTTAAGGTTAAGTATTTTGCAAAAGATTACAAGCGCTTAATGCCTTTTTTTAAGAATTTTTATTTGCCACTCCACAATTTTAGCAACATGAAGTAGCATCTCATTCTTATGTCACCTTTTTGACCGACTTCCCAAAAGAAGGAGGTACTCAATTCGTCTGTAAGTTATTTTTTTTATGTGTGTTACGGCATAACTCCGCCGCTAGTGGACCGATTTTGATAATTCATTTTTTATCCGAAAGGTAATGCTTGCAGG